TAACAAGTATTATTTCTACATAAAATAATTCACAAATTGTCGTTAGTTTTCATGTAATTATTTATATTTAATTTATGAATATCAAATAATTCTACACTCACACAATGACATATGACAACAACTAATATATCAATTCATAATTTTCATATTTTGATAATACACATCTTGTTTTTATCCATTCAAGAAATAACAATAACTAATGAAACAATAAAGTAAATTATGACTATTTCATCATTATTAATACCGTTATGAGTAATATTAAAATCATTTTTTCTTTTCAATCCCTTCATTTATTATTTCTTCTATTTCTGTTTCATTTATTTTATGAATTATCGTTTTTTAATTATATTCCATATTCCCTTCTTACTGTACCATCTCTCTAATATGTTATTTCCTATCTCACTTTCTCTGGTACAGTAGTACATCACTGTTCTTACTAATTCAATAACATATTCGTCACTTATATTTATTAATCATTCACCCATTTCTTCTAGAGGGACATATAACCTATCTTTGGAGTTTCCGGCACCAATGTATTTTGCCTTTCTTAAGTATTTTCTTATCTCCAAATCCATTTTGTCTAAGTTATTTTCCAATTTACAACTGATGCTGAATATCTGAAGATAGGGATTACTTCATTATTTATTCTAGTAATATATCTTCTATTACTACTTTCATCACTGTTTATTTCTTCCATCTTCTGATTCATTTTTTCTTTGATGGTTTTACAATTGAAAGTGTCATCAATTTCGTCGGACTGCCATATTCCTAAATATTTATCCCATTCAACTACTGGGATGTTTTGCATTCCATTTGGTATTTCCTTATTGTTTTTTAATACCATTCCTGACTTTTTCTCATTCATTTCCATCCCTATTCCACTTATTATTTCTTTAATTTCATTGTGGATTATTCAAATTTCTTCATTACTTTCTGTCATTATTCTCAAATCATCCATATATAATGTGTGATTTGATTTTGGGAATTTCTCTTCGATGAATTGAGAAATTACATTCATCTGAATGCTGAAGAGTAGATTTGATAAGGAATCACCTTGTAAAATTCCTCTATTTAATTTAATATTGCCTAGATATTCATTATATTTATAACCGATGAATATCTTCCATCTAGTCATCATACTTTCAATCATGTTAATGATGACACACTCATAATTAAAATATTTTAATGATTCAATTACCCATTCGTTGTTTACTGTGTCATATGCTTTCTTAATGTCATAATATGACTCCACATATTTTGGGTATTTCTCTTCTTTTTGCTGCTTCATCATATAACTATTAATTATTCCTTCTTTAGCAGCTAAAGATTGCAACTTACATCTCAATTGGTTACTACTGATTTTCAATGATTCATTATTCATGTTAATTCTTCTGTGAATCTTTTCTTTTAATATGGAGGTAAATACTTTCATAATTACATTTGTACAACTGATAGGACGATAATTAGTGACATCATTCCTATCACCTCCTTTGTGGATTAATAAAGTTTTTCCACTTACCATGTCTAATGGGATGTTTTCAGGGAAGTTCAACCATTCATTAAAGATATTGAGAATGATTTCTCTTGATGATGACATCCTTTTCCAATAATACAAATATATAGTGTCTATTCCTGGTGCTTTCCAGTTATTTATTCTCATTATACTTAAATAATTCATTTAATGTTATAATGACACTATCATAATTTCTATATCTTTCATTCCACGAGGTGATTTGTTTTATTTTCCAATTCTCTTTATTTAATTTCACCTGTGTTTCATATAACGATTTCCAATATTCTAAAGTAATATCGTTATTTGGGTATATTTCATTTTTTGGGTCTTTCTTCCTTATTCTAATTTTCTTGTTAGAATCAAACATGATTTTATTTGTATTGATTCTGATTATTTCATTTTTATTAAATTTAATTCTTTCTTTGATCATTCTCATCATATATTTTATGTATTTTATTCTTTCTAGTGCTTTAACTTTTATTCCTTCTTCATCATGTTCTTTTAATTTCATGATGCACTTTATTCTGTACAATTTCATTGACTATATCTTCTAGTCTATTAATTTTCTTTAGGATTTCTTTTATTTCATCAAATTTGTCTCCTATTATTTTATTTTGGAGATAGAGGTGCATAACCATTGAAATCCTCTTCATATCATCTTCCACTTCATGCATTCTGCTTCCTGACCATATCCATCTATTATTAATTTCCATTATTAATCGGTCAGCTTCTTTTCTTTTCCAGTAGTAATTAATGTTTGAACATTTTTCTATTTTCATTTCTTTTATTTTATTGATAATAATGTTAAGGTATTCTTCATCAATTTCTGTAGAGTTATTCTTTATTATGATGTTTTTTATTATTGAATTAAACTCTACTCTTCTTTCTATTATATCATTTACTTTCACTTTAATGTATTGTTTAGTACTTTCTTTTATTTTATGTGATATTTTAATATATTTAATATATTCATTTTCATTATTGACATCAATGTTTAACACTTTTATTATACTTTCAATTTGTTCCTATCTTAATTTCTTATATAATTTCTTATTTAACCAATTAATTGCAAAACAATACATCACTTCAATTAAAATTCTATTTCTTTCTTTTGTATTTCTTGTCTGATTATCATCTCTTGTTTTTTTTTTTTTTTGACAATCATTGCTTTCCTCTTCGATTTCCACTACTGTCTTTTTCATAGGAGTAGTTTCGTTCATCTCCATTGTTCCTGATGATGCTTTCCTCATTACTGGGTGTGTATTTATCACAAGTGTCATCGTTTTCTTCTTCTCTAATTCCTTCTGTGAAATAAAATTTTCAATATCATCTTGTTGTTTTGATATTATTTGTTTTTGTGCTTCATTTTCTTTTTGTGTGTTGTCTAATTCTTCTCTTGTTCTTTCTGCAATCTCATGACTTATTATTGCTGCTTGTTGAATTTCAGAGATTTGTTTTTCTTTATCTCTTATTTTACTTTTCAGCTCCTCAATTTTCTTCTCTAGTACTTCCGCTTTTTCCTCTAACACACTATTCTTCTTCTCCAGTATTTCACCTTTTTTCTTCAGCTCTTCTGTTTTCTCCTTTTGTTCATCCTTTTCCTTCTGTAACTTCCATTTAGTGGATTTTAGACTTCGAATGGTTTCTTCTTTGTTATTCATTTCCATGATTTTCCTTCTATCTCATTTATTTCACCTTGTAATTTTATGTTTTCTTCTGTTAGTTTTTCATTTTCTTTCTTCTTTTCATTATAATTTGTTTGCACCTTCTTAATTTCTTTTTTCATATTTTCTATCTCTTTCTCAAATTCTTTTCTGACTATTTCTTTTGCTTTTTCCATCATTTCATCTGAGATGGTTTGTTCTTCTTCCTTTCTTTTTGCTTGATATCCTTTATTTTCTTCTTCTAATTTTTTAATTTGCTTTTGAAGTACTTTAATTTCTTCTTTTTCTTTATAATTTTCCTCTTCATTCTTTGTTTCTTCTTTGTTTTCTTCTTGTGTTTTTCTTTCTTTTTCTGTTTCATTTATTATTTTAGCCATTTTACATCTTTTTTGTAATTCTTTGATTGGATTTCTGCTTTTGATTTCTGTTTCAATTGCTTGGATATCTTCTTCTTTCCATCCTTTTGTTCTTTCCTTAAATTTTTCTTGCATTTTTCCAATTCTCTTTTTCTTTCTAATTGAATATACTTCTTGAAGGATATCATACCATCTTTTCCTTTTACCTTCGTATTTTTTCAGTATTTCTGAATATTCTCCTTTTTCCCATTTATTTATTATTCCTTTTATTCTTTCATGTATCTCTTTTATTGTTAACCATCTATGTCTATTGTTTGTATATTCATTATTATTCCAGTATTTATCCTGTTTTTTATTCGTTCTTCTTTGTCTTTGGTGTTTTTTAACCCCTTTTCTCTTAGTATTTCTTTTATTATAATTGTGATATCTTTTATTATAATTGGAATATCTTTTATTGTTGTTATTGGCATTTAACCTTGTATTTCTATGTCTTGTTTGCTTTTCTTTACAAGACATCAAGGCATTACTCCATAACAATGGCAATAAAATTTGTTGTATTTCCTGCATTGGAAAAGGATATCCTTTTCAATTAAGAAAGAAAAAAAAAAAAAAAAAGGAATCAATTATGATTAACCTTATTTTTTAGGTTTTTTCATCATGTCGAGAAGTGAGCGAATCAGTTTCTTCAACACGCTTTATTTCTATTGAAATAAAGTTTTTGCAAGCATGCTCGACTTAAATGGTTCCTCATTTAAGTTGCTGCCTGACTTTTATTTTGATTTTAATGAGTAATATAATATTTCTCATTCTCTATATTGTTGTTTTAAGGAGAGTATATCCATAACTTACTGTTATAGCTCATCTCCTTTTACCTTCGACACCCCTTAAAGAAACCCTATTACTTGATAATATCATTATGTTTAATTTTTGTGCAACAATATCAATTATATATGCGTCTTCTTTAATAAATGATAATTCTTAATACATAATACCTCCTTAGTAAATAATAATCCTTATAATTAATAATGAAGAACAATACACGTTAATGAAGAACAATACACGTTAATGAATAATAATCTTTTATAATACTCACTTCTAATAAATATTAATAATAATAAACAGTTAGTGTTGAATAGATATTATCTCACCAAAGGCACGTCATAACCAGACGATAACTGGGAGATTCGAAGCATGGGATTATTTTAGGGTTTCGTGTGGTGTCTCTGACGTGCCATCTTCGAATCCCTATCCTTTTCAATTAAGAAAGAATAAATAAAAAAAAAAAAGGATAAAACAATCAAAAACAAATATTTAAATAAGAAGATGATTTTTGTTATAAATTGCAAAACATTTCTATTTTTATTATATCATAAAAATAAAATTTTCTAAAAATACAACGAAGTTCAGAAGGGTAAAAAGAAAAAGAAATAAAAATAAAAAGAACTTTGAAGAATTTAAATAACGAACATGAGCGTGGATGATTATGATTATTTATATAAAGTAGTAATGATAGGTGACTCAGGAGTTGGAAAATCAAATTTATTATTAAGATTTACTCGAGATGAATTTGATCCTGAAAAGAAATCAACTATTGGTGTTGAATTCTCTTCTAAACAAATTAGATATAATGATGAAACAGTTAGAACACAGATATGGGATACTGCTGGACAAGAAAGATATAGAGCAATTACTAATGCTTATTATCGTGGTGCATTAGGTGCAATACGTTTGTTAAAATTTTGAAAATTTTGTTACTAAAAGACTAAAAGTTACTAAATAACCAGTTGTTTATGATGTAACAAAAAAATCATCATTTGAATCACTTGATCGTTGGCTAAGTGAATTACGAGATAATGCTGACAAAAAAGTTGTTGAAATGATTGTTGGAAATAAATGTGATTTAGAACAAATGAGAGAAGTAAGTATAAAAGAAGGAGAAGATATGGCAAAGAAAATAGGTGCTTTCTTTTTTGAAACATCAGCTTTTGATGGAAAGAATGTTGAAACTGCATTTATGGCTATTATTCAGAAAATATGTGATGAACAAACAAGACTAAGAGCATCAGAAACCAAACCAGTTATTAAACCAATTTCAGATAGTAAAGTGGAAATTGACAAAACACCTGAAGAACAACAAACACCGAAAAAAAGTGGTTGTGCTTGTTAAATTTAACTTCTTTTATTTTTTTTGGTTTTTATTTGTTTTATTTTTTTAGGTTTTAACTTTTTTTTTAAGTTTGATATAAACCTCAAACAATTTTTTTTTATTTGTTTTATTTTATCCTCAGAGGTTTATGAAACAACTTGAAAAGGTTTATTTATCAATTGTTCTTAATTATTTAAAACATTTTAGTGTTATTGTTAAGTTCATTTTAATTAATAAAAAATGTTGGGATGCTTGCCAAATGATGAAAATAAATCCAATGGCTATTGATAAAATGGGTCAACACTCTTATATGTATATCCTTGAACCTGCTTCTCAACTGAGAAATGAATTAGAAATATTAAATAGAATTGATACAATTAAAATTACTGCTGATTTATTCTTAGTATTTCTCAAACAATTAAAAGAAAAGAGTCAAGACTTTGTCATTCAAAATAGGTTTTATTCTTATAACTTTAAATTTTTAGAAGGTTTTGAAAAAAGGATTCTTAATATTCATCTCTACATTGATGAATTACATCATTTTGAAGGTAATTTTAAAGGGTTTACTCGTCTTCAACAGTTGACTATTGAATCAAACAACGTTTCTCTTAATCTACTTCATATCCTTCCTGAATCACAACAGTTTATGAAGTTACTTCATATTATTGGAAGTTTTGATCAACAATTTGTTAATCATATTTCAGAGTATAGAATACAAAGAGTTATTATCGAATCTTCTCGTTCATTTATAGAGTCACTTCCTCTTTCAAAATCAATTTCAAATGTTTTACTTATTTCTAATGATTGGAAAGACTCAGATGTAAATCATCTCACTATTCATCAAAATAAAGAAGGGTGGCTCAAATGGAATATTAATGAATCAAATCATTGTTTATTTAATCAATTATATTATCCTTCTAAATTAATCATTCATGGACAAGGGTCAATAAGTTCAAATTATGATATAAATGATGATTCTGAGAATATTGTTAGTGGGATTGATTTTTCAAGTTATAACCAATTGTGTTCACTTTCACTTCAAACAAACTCAGTACCAATTACACTTCCTACATCATTAACTTATTTGGAACTAAATTCCCCTTCCGAAAATCCTGTAATTAATTGTCCAATATTATCTTCATTTAGTCTTGTTAATACTCAAAACCCAATCACTCTTTCATTTTCTTCTTGCCTTACCTCGATTAAACTAACTCATTCACAATGTATAATAGAAGAACCACTTCTTCAAATCAAAGAAATTGAATTATTTAGTTCAATCCTTTATAATGACTTTGTAAAAATGACTTCACTTACAAAAATGATTCTTGTTGAATGTTCAATTATCTTTACTCAACTCCCAGACTCTTTATTAGACCTTTCTCTTATTTCATGTAAATCTCGTAAATCCATTCCAAGTACTTTTCTACCTTCTCACTTATCATCTATTAAAATTCATTCTTGTGATTTCCTTTTTCCAATGAACTTTCCTCAATCTCTTCAGTCGTTAGATCTATTTATAGAAAACGAAGTTACAGAATGTATTGACTTAATGCCTTTAAAATTAATTTCATTGTATGTAAGAGGTACGTTAGTAAACGTAGTCATTCCTACAACTTTACAGAAACTTTATTTATATGGAATAAAAGAAAATCTTAATATGGATTTCAGTCATTTCTCTAATTTAAAATGCTTTGCTTATGAAAATGGAAAGGAGATAGATTCTTTTGTATTGCCAAGTCATCTTCATTTACTTAAAATTCAGCCAGTTGTCCCTCACCTCCAGATAAATCAAGTAGATTATATTCAATGTATCAGTTTTGAAAATGAACAACCTCATTTTAAAAATTTCCACACTGATTTTTTGGGAGAAATATGTTCTATTTGAGTTATTTTTTGTTAAGTTTTCTTATTTTTGTTCATTAGATTTTTCTTAATATTGATAGACTTCCATGCTTTAACTATAACAGTTTTATCTACTCCTTTTGACTCAAACCATCTTCTAAAGTGTCACTTATTTGATGACACTTCAATTTTTTGATGTATTGGTTGGTCAATAATTTTTTTATTTCCACTACTACTTCTTTTTCTTTTTTCTTTTCTATCCCTTCATTTATTATTTCTTCTATTTTTGTTTCATTTATTTTATGAATTATTGTTTTTTAATTATATTCCATATTCCCTTCTTACTGTACCATCTCTCTAATATGTTATTTCCTATTTCACTCTGGTACAGTAGTACATCACTGTTCTAATTATTTCATTAACATATTCGTCCCTTATATTTATTAATCCTTCACCCATTTCTTCTAGAGGGACATACAACCGATCTTTGGAGTTTCACCATTGTATTTTGCCTTTCTTATTTATTTTCTTATCTCCTTTTCCATTTTATCTAAGTTATTTTCCAATTTACAAATGATGCTGAATATCTGAAGATATTGATTACTTCCGTGTTTATTCTAGTAATATATCTTCTATTACTACTTTCATCACTGTTTATTTCTTCCATCTTCTGATTGGCAACGAAAAAAAGCAAATAATTGAAACAGAAGAGAATGAATGATATAAAAGAATAAAAAGAAAATAAGAAGTAGAATATGATGAAGAAAGAATAAAAGTAGAAAGGAGAGAATATAAAAAGAAAGAAGATAAAGTGTAATAAAACAAAAGAGATGATAAAAGAAGAAAAGAATGAAAAAAATAAAGGATGCAAATTTTATTGAAACAAATAAAAAAAGTGCAAAATTTAATGATGCAAAATTTAATGATGCAAAATATTTAGCAACATTTTTATTGATGCAAAATATTTTGAAATAAAAATAATTCATCATTTGATATTATTATATTTGATAATAAATTATATTATATATTAAATACATCATATTTCTTTATTATTTATCTTTCTTTTCTTTTTATTATTTCATATATTACATTATTATTCATTCATTTATTATTTATATTTCATTTATTAAATAAAATGAAAATGAAATTGTAAAATATCAATCAATTAAATATTCATGAATAATAATTTATTAATATTTAATAATTGAAATAACAAATAATAAAGTAACATTAATGATATATTCAATATATTCTTTATTTAATTTGTTCAATATTAGATTATTCTATTTCATTATCATTTCATTATCTTCATTATTTTATTTCATTATTTCATATTCATTTATTATTTTTTAAAATCAAATAACAATAATATTGATATTCATTCATCATATTCATTTAATATAATAAATATACACAACATTTCAGAATAAATAATGAATAATTAACATTTAAAATATTGATTATATTTAATATTTTGATCAACATAAAATCAATAAAACATATATTTTGATAATACACAAATGAAATAATAAAGAAATATACAATACTCAAGAACTAATAAAAAAGAAATAAAAAGAATAAATGAATATAAAATTGATAAATAATAGAAGAAAGAAATATAAACAACAATGAAAAACAAATAATATAAAAAGAATAAAAAGAAAGTAGAAGAGGATAAAGAGTAATAAAACAAAAGAAATAATAAGAGAAGAAAAGAAAGAGGAAATAAAAAGTGTATTTTTAATGTAAAAATTAGAAATATTCAATAAAAAAGTGTCTAATATAATGATGTAAAATGATTAATAATATTTTATTGATGAAAAATATTTTATTATTTTTTATGTTTATTATTTATGTGTATAACTTCAACATGATGTTTATTATATATTCAATCATATGTGTTATGTTATTATAACATATAATAAGTGATAAAATATAAATGAAAATGATATG